AAGATGTATATGTCAGAGCTTATGAGTTTGGAACGAAGTGATAATATTGCGCATAAACAAGAGTATGTTTATGATAAGGGTTTGCGGTTAAGATGGAAAGAATTAGCATTGGCTAACTAGAGTATGTGATAGAAATGTACTGGAATTATAAGATTATAAGATATTGTCTGGATATGATAACCAGATCTGCAATGGATCTGGATACAGTTGCATATTTGGATCATAATAATGAGGTATAGTAAAGGAAAAGGAAGTAAGAATTTGTATATTTAAGTAAAGCTGAGGATTGATAAGAAGAGTTTGAGAATGTGTATATCGATGATCAAATTATAGGACACAGGAAGTCAGAATGTTGAGTTTGAATAAAAGAAATTTCGGGATATAAGAGAATAGAGGTGAAATTGATAAGTTGAGTAAGTGAATTTTTTTTTAAGATAATTTCGATTTGACAGGATGTATGTGTTTAGTGGATTAGGGTTTGTACCCTAGATTGAACATATATTATTGACTAGCTGTTAGAGTAAAAGTGATAGAATAATAAGATTGAAGGAAAAAGGTAAAGTTGAGTTAATTGATTATGATGTGAATTTGAATATGATTGTATATTCTGAGCAGATAGCTAGGATGTAAAAAATGAGATAAGTATTTGCATGGAATCTTCAGGAAGAAAAATACAAGTATAAGAATGATAAAGAATGAAGTTATGTATAAGAAAAGGGTTATTAAAGTAATGAGGATGCAATGGAGATTGGTACATAAAGATGAGTATAAGTGATAAGACAAGAGTATGTGAATATGAAAGGAAATATATGATTTATGTATAAGGAATAAGGAGTAAAGTAATGGAAGGGATTGATTTAAAGGATCAGATACGATGACTATGGAAGTACAGAGGACAATTTTTGATATAGACACATTGAAAAAGATTTAAAGTTGTGTTTTGGTCAAATGATGACGAAATACAAGTTTGGTATGGTTATAAGGTAATTAAAGATTGATAAAGAATTTGATTGATTAAGGATTTTGAGTGATAAGAACTGATGCGATTGGTTATATGATAAGTAGCATGATAAGGATGTATAAAGGAAAAAGGTAGTTGAAGAACTAAGAGAAAGAAAGATTAAGTAAAGGAAGCAACATAAGAACATTAGAAGATATGTTCTTACTAAGTTGTTCAGTGAAAAATTCGAGGACGAATTTTTTTTAAGGAGGGGAGATTTGTAACATCCGCAATACCGGGTTAGTGACCAAATTGTAAAGTTTTAGAATTTGGTGATTAAAGTAGAATAATTATATAGTTGAAAAGTATGGTTAGTAAATATGAGATGGAGGTAGGGACCAAATGGTCATTTGTAAGGAAATTTTAATTAAAATAAGATTTTAAGGGGATATATGAGAATCACGTGTGATTTTAGGTTCCAGAACCTCCCATTTCTTCTTCATTCTTCCTTACTTTCTTCTCTTCCTCCTCCAAACGTGGGCTTGCAATTATAGGTAAGAAATTGAACTTGGTAGTTTCTTTGATTGTTAAGATTGGAAATGAAAGCTTGAATGTTATATAAGCTAAAGGAAAGCTTATATGACATTAAAGCAACAAGATAAGTGATTTAGATAATGATTTGGAAAATGAGTTTTTAGATGAAATTTTGATATGGATGAGTTTTTGATGTTTAAATCAGATTTTTGACTTGTCAAGAAGCTAATTAAGAGGTAGGAAGTGTTAGAATTGGAATTAGAACACATTGGAAATTTGGTATGATTTTTGAATCTTATATGGAAGATAGAATTTTGAGTTTAAAGAAGGGATTATGGAGTAGAAATGAGTTTAAGTATGTGTATGAAAGTTAGGAATATTAAAGGGAGTGAAGTATGATGTGTTGAGCTGAAAATGAAGGATTTTCGAGCTCAAAATATGATTTCTGGGCAAGGGGAATCGGTACCCATTCAAGGGGAACCGATACCCCTTCAAACGAACAAGAATTTCCAGTATGTCATGGGGGAACCGATACCCCCATAGGGGGGGAACCGATTCCCCCTAAAGGAAAATTGGGAATATGGGTTTAATAAGTTCGTTTAAGTTGCTAGTATCCAATTAGAAGGTGTAGGTATCTAATGATTGTCACGAAATGTACATTTATGTAGATTCTACGCATAAAGAAATTCCGGAACGTTTGGCAAGTAAGATCGATCAAGGGAAATATAAGAGATTGGAATTGGCTAGTGAGGCCAGGTGAGTGCATATTAGTTAGTTGATGGTGCTAAATGGAAACAAGACTTGCGACAAGTCTATTTCCTATGTTAGAATGCATGAATATATGATTATACGTATATGAATGACATGAATTGTAGGTATGCATGAATATATGTGTTGATATGCTTTTGAATGTAATGTTATGAGAAGTATGTGCTATATAAGGTATATATATATATATACATATGTGAAACTGAACTATGTGACTGCATGAGAAAGATATGAGCCATATGACATAATATAGGTGAATATGAGAAAACAAAGTATGAGATATAAACTATGTGATCATAGTAAAATATAATTATATTTTTACATGATAAGTGAAATAAACTGGATAATATTGATCTATAGGATGAAGTGAAAATAGTACACCAACTAGGGGATTTGAACATAAATGATAAGATGAACGTATAAGATAAGCTAGATGGGAAAGATTCATAGACTTAAATAAAACTATAACACATGGGTTGAATGATAGAAATTTGTGAAGTTATATGAGAAGATTATAAGAGCTATATGAAATTGAATTAAGTAACAGATTAGATTATATATAGAAATAATAGAAGTGAGATATGTTTATAAGTCTGCCCTAGATGAATACGAAATATAAGAGTGCTATATGATTTATATTAGGATAATCTTGAGGATATATATATATAGATAGATATGAAATGAAATGAAATGAGTTATATGAATACCCAATTATGTGATGAAATGGTGAATTCCTGAACATGTGAATATATATGTTTAAGAGAAGGCATAAGATTAAGATATAAGCAATGTGACTATAAGTATATGTGCTTTAAGTGATATGACTTATAAGTATTTCTATTATAATGTTATGATGTTATGTATGTTAAAGGAATTATGTGATGGTATAAGAATTGATAGGAAATAGATATGTGAAAACAAGTATAGGTTACGAGACAAAACTTATGACTATAAGCTACATGAAAGTGTTCTAGGTGTTTCGATATATTATATGAAGTATATGATCTTATGTGAACAAGATATGATAAGTATGTTTATATGAATAAAGGTGATTGGGTGAGAAATGATCTACGGGTAAGTGAACTACATGACTATGTGATCATATGAAAAAGCTATATGATACGTGATATGTGAAAACGAATTACAAGTTTATGTGTATTTTTGAAATGAAATAAATGATAACGCCCATGTTATGTGTCATGAGAGCTAGGGGTATAGTTGGCATGCCAAGAGTCGAGGGTTTATTCGGTTCTTTAGGACATATGTATATCCTTTGGAACCTGTGTGAAGTCTTGAAAGACACATACTTGATCCATAGTATATGTATATGATTCTTAAGGAATTCTACGTGGTCCTTATGGACATCATTCTACGGGCACTACGGTGCAATTCTACGGGCACTACGGTGCAATTCTACGGGCACTTCGGTGCATTTATACGAGCTGTGGTGACAGCATAGTGCACAACCTCTATAGACTCACATATCGATAGTTCTCACATATGTACATGGGCTAATCCAGAGATATGAACAAATATAAGTTAGTGGTATGATAAATGCTATAGAAATGATATGATGTTGTGTGTGTATAGTGTTGGATTGAAATAGTATGTGATTATATGATAAACTGTTAATGATGAATTATGTGTATGCATGTATTTATTGCAATTAAGCTGATATGATTTTATACGATATGAAACATGCATGAACTTGCTGTAACATGATAGAACAAAACATGCATGTATCAATATAGCTTTTAAAGTGCATTATAAGTTGTTATGCCTCACTAAGTCTTCGACTTAGCGTGTGATTGTTTCACACGTAGGTTTCGAGAAGAGTAAGGAGTGATGCGGAGCAAGACAGGTCAGTTTTCCTTACCAAAAGATCAGATCAGAAATATTTGATAAAGTATGTTTTTTGGTTATGTATAAAGTGTTGGCATGTAATAAGTCATTAAGTACGAGCACTCTGATAAAGTCTGTATTTTGTTTTAAATAAAGTTTTAAATTTCCCGGGATTTTTCTTAAGAGTCAAGGTTTGAAAAGTCAATGTGACACTTCGGACTCGTATCCGGGTCGGATACGGGTTGGGGGTGTTACACCAAGAGTGTGAAATGAGACTCAAAAACCCTAAATTGTCCCTATATATTTTCTTAGAGAGACATTATACCATCCACTTGGTTCCAATGTGTGTTTACCTAGGTCCCTTATGGACTTAAGAGAAAGTCGCTTACATCATGATAGCTCCAAATGCTAACTCAAGGAGAGGAGATGGTGGAGACCCAACACCAAGTCATTTTATCCTAAGTATCTGAAGAAACTTATCAACTATAACATTAGTAGACGTTATTTTTCTTTTATTAACTTAAATAACTAAAGAAACTTACCACTTATAATATCAGTAAACGTTAGAATGTCCCAAACGAGGTAATTTCCTTGACAGACCCCTTAATACCATTCCTCAAACTTTCCCTTGATTCATAATCACATCTATTCGGTCCACAATCGGATTATTATCATAATAAATAGGTTGTTCCTGACGCATTGCACTCGGTTTCGAGTTCTAACCATTTTGTTACTACTACTTCGAAGGCCGCCTCGATTAGATTTTCACTCACTCTCTAAATCAACGCGTGGCCGAACTTCTCCAACTATATTCACTTTAAAACAAACAACCGCCAACTAGCGTCTTTGCCTCGCTAGTCTTCGCTGTTTCCATCGTCATTATAATAATAAACAAAAGATTATTCCTTAATCAGACCTTATCAAAATCCAAAATTCCTCTTTTAAAACCTCTCCTCTTCTTCCTCTCTCGTCTTCCCTTCGAACCCCAGCTGTGATTTTCTTAAACAAAAATTAGTGGAGAGATGGCGCCCAATGATCCGGAACAAAGCGGTGGTTTCTTTGCGTCCATCGCTAGCAGCATATCTAATTTTGGTAGCGCCATGACTAAATCGGTCAACGGGTAATAAGATCCATCTTCTAATTTCTATTTTTATTTAGTTTCTTTTTTTCTTGGATCTTCCTTTTTCCTTTTTGAATTTGAGTTGATTGATTCGATCTCCATGTGGAAATAACTTTTAGTTCATTATTGAATTTATTATCGATTGCAATTGTTATAAAGGAAATTTTTTTGTACCAGATCTGTGATTTTGTTTAGAGCTGATTAGAGGGCTGAGCTGAAACTAACTGATTTGGATGTTTTGAGCAAAGGTTTTTAGCCCAAAGAGAATTCACGGTTGTTTTCCTGTTTGAACAGTTTATTGGGATATGAAGGGCTTGAAGTTGTTAATCCGGAAGGTGGGACTGAAGATGCCGAAGAAGAAGCAAGAAGGGGAAGATGGAAACAGGAGGTAATGCTTAATTTTCGAGGTCTTCGTCTTAATTGGAGAAAATAAGGAAGAAAAACCAGTAGTTTGGTGACTGGTTCTATCGTATGCTTTTGAATAATGGTGCTTCAATTTGGAAACAAGTGGCTGCAATGTCACTTATGGCTTAAGTTGCAGTATTATCATTACCCCTTGTCAGGGTTATATTGTAATGACAATTATCCTTACTCTGCCAAACTTCTATATTGTGCTTAGGCTTCCATGTTCTAACTGATTTTGCTGGAACATATGAGATATTTGAATGTTGCCCAGCACGTGACACATAGTAAAAGAAACGCTAATCTTTTCCACCGATTAGCATGCTTAATGCTTGCTTCTTTCTCATAAATGATGAAATTATATGTGACGGATTGCTTAAATAGGCTTGATATGATAGCTTGATGAGGATGCATTTTATTAACTTGCATGGGCATTTACAATTTGCTTTCTTTTATTTAACAGGACAGGGACAGTTACTGGAAAATGATGCAAAAGTATATCGGGTCTGATGTTACATCAATGGTGACACTTCCCGTACTTATTTTTGAGCCAATGTCAATGTTGCAGAAAATGGCTGAGGTTTGTGTTTTCATATCCAACCATTGCTGTAAAGTTATTCGCTATGTTTGGTTATTTTCTGTCAGTTGGACTTTTCATTTATCAATTTCATTCTGTGACAGTTGATGGAGTATTCATACCTGTTAGATCTAGCTGATGAATGCGAAGATCCTCACATGCGATTAGTGTACACTAGTAAGGTTTTTTCCAACTTCTCTTTCTCTTTCTCTCGGATTTTAAATAGGACTAATGATAGCTAATTGCAGCTTCATGGGCTATATCTGTCTATTATGCCTTTCAACGTACCTGGAAGCCATTTAATCCCATACTCGGTGAGACTTATGAAATGGTTAATCACGGTGGCATTACTTTTCTAGCTGAACAGGTGAGTTTTTTTTAGACCTAAGATTTTGTTCTTTTTTCTCCCGTGTTAATTATTTGGGCTCTTACTTTTGGCACTTTTTTCCGTGTAATTTCTCTAAATGACTGCTATTTAAGGTATTTATTAGACATTTTACCCTTTCAGATTAGTCATCATCCCCCAATGAGTGCTGGTCATGCTGAAAATGAGCATTTTATTTATGATATTTCGTCTAAAGTGAGAACCAAGCTTCTGGGAAATTCAATTGATATCTATCCTCTTGGAAGGTAAAACATGTTATCTTTTGTAACTTTTTAGGGCCTATTCATTGCAACTTGTTTTAGTTTTATAACATCATTAGCAGTTTTTATAAGCTAATAGACGTGGCATTAATCTTGGAGTTCGTGGAAATTTACAATAACTTCTAATTCTTATCATGTAAAGGTCTCTTCTTTGTTTTTCTGGAGAATATTCTACTTGTATTTGAACTGAACACGGGTTGAAACGTTCAACAAATTTTGAATACTTGAGTTGGTGTGCATTAGCATCTCCTTTTAAAAAATATATATATGCTCTTCAACACAAGAACACTGCAATGGGGAGGGAAGAACTTGTTTATATGCATTATGAACTGTCACTAATTGCATTGCTGTCATACATGAACTTGAATTATTTTGTTTTCCCATCTAATCTTCTTTGGAATCATTGTCTTTAGGAAGCCTCTCATCTTATGAAATTGGCTTCGCTGGGTTATCCTTTCATGATGTTTGATATCAGTGAAAGTAAACTTAAGCATATTTTTAAGGTTCAGTGTTGGTATTGATGTATAGATCCTAAAATAATTGTGTGCAGAACCCGTGTGACCCTCAAAAGAGATGGTACAGTTTTTGATTTGGTGCCTCCTCCCACAAAAGTGAACAACTTAATTTTTGGACGAACTTGGGTTGACTCACCAGGGGAGATGATCATGACAAACCTGACAACAGGCGACAAAGCTGTGCTATATTTTCAACCATGTGGTTGGTTTGGGTATGGTTTTATTCCAAGTAATTACTATTTTCCTGCATATGCAGGCTCCGGCTACCAAGTCTTTTCCTCTCTGTATTTGGAGACGAGAAAAAGGACTGCTTATCAAGATTTCAAAGGGTTTCATTTCACAATTTAACATTATTCTTTCATTGTTCACAGAGCTGGTCGTTACGAAATTGATGGATATGTATATAACTCTGCTGAGGAGCCAAAGATTTTGATGACCGGGAAATGGAATGAGTCAATTAGTTATCAACCTTGTGATAGTGAAGGGGAACCACTTCCAGGCACTGAACTGAAGGAGGTAAGTCTTTTACAGCACCTCAGAGTTGTTTTCATCTTTTATTCTTCTCCTAAACACTCCCAGGGTTTTCTTGATGCTTGTATTCTGGAATTTTCGTATTTCCTGCAAAAAATTAGCATAATGTCTTAATCAGAAAGCAGATTACATGCTGAGTGTTTCCCACTAGTGTTTGATTTTGACTTTTTGAAACAAAGTTTGCAGTCAGAACGGTGAAACTACACTTGTTTATCATGCCTTTCCCAATAGCTTCCCACATAGGTAGTGCTGCTTCTAACAATGAACAAGTTAACCCTGGTACATGGTTCAGTAGCAATTTTCATGCTTTTTTGAAAGTTTTATTTGATATAACATTTTCTCTATCGCATGATAACTATTTTGATTTCAAAATAAAAAATCAGGACTGATATACTTGTGGTAATAACATGTGATGCTTTAACAAACACCCAAAAAAAATGGAAGAAGAAGATTTATGCCCCTGGTACTAAGCTGCTTGTCATTACTCTGTTGCTGTTATGCAGTCATGGAGACTTGCTGATGTTCCGAAAAAAGATAAATTCCAGTACACATATTTTGCGCATAAGATTAACAGCTTTGAGACTGCTCCCAAGAAGCTATTAGCATCTGATTCTCGTCTACGACCCGATAGATATGCACTAGAGCAGGGTGACCTCTCTAAGGCTGGTTTTGAAAAGAGCAGGTATCTCTCTCTATTCCCAACCCCCCCCTCCGGCGGGCAGAAAAAAGGATTTTGGAATTTTGTTTACCTGTATACATAAATGTGTTGCTGATTGTGCATAACTTTGTTCAATGGAGGTGAAAGAGTTTATGGTGGTGTATTTCATTCAGAATAGTCTTTATTTGTCTATTATGCTTCACTATGTACTATGATCATATCAATTCATATTATATAATAATGTCTTATAAGATCTTTCTTTCTGTTGTGCAGTTTGGAGGAAAGACAACGAGCTGAAAAGAAAAACAGGGAGGAGAAGGGCCATAAATTTACACCCAAATGGTTCGACTTCACCAACGAAGTCGCTGCTACACCTTGGGGTGACTTGGAAGTTTATCAATACAATGGCAAGTATGACGAATACCGGGCTGCGATAGATAGCTCGAGTAGCAGTGAGGAGATTGACGTTGAGTCCACTGAATTCAACCCATGGCAGTATGAAGATTTGGCTGCTAACTAAAACCTTACTTTTATGCTTGCTTTTGGACTGTATGATACATTTTTGCTATGCTTTTTACACTGGTTTTGTATTGTGGTTAGTGTCAATTATAGAACAATTACATATAGTTATTAATTCAGCTCTGTTTTATTTACAACTCCCAGAAATGATTTAATTAGTTTTTGATCCATAGTTTTCAAGAAAATTATTTGTATTTTTATCCTTAAATCATGCTCCCTCTCTTTTGTTAAATCTGTCCCTTATTGACTATTTTTTGTTCAATTTTTCTAATTTTGACTCATTATTATTTAAAATTTTATTATTGATAAAAATATAAATATATATTTTAAAAACTTTCAATCAAGTAATTTTTAAATAGATATTTTATAAAATTTAAATATTTAAAATAATTATGATTAAAGTTTAAAAATTATAGCTTTTAAAATGTAATAAGGAATATTTAGTGGAACAGATGGAGTATTATATGATATTAGTTGGTATTGTGTGTTTTTCTTTTATGAAAATATTTGATAATCTTGATTATATGATGTGAGAAATGTACGATGAATGTATCCAATTTAAATTATAAAATCTGTATAGTATTGTTATAAATATGCTTAATTTCTCACTATTCTTTGTATTTTAGTGTAATTATTTGTATCATGACTATTTTTTTAGTTGCTTTTTTGTATTATTATTTTGTTCTCAATTGTTTTCTGTATGGTCATTCTATCTTGTGTGTTATTCTAATGGTATTTCCTACTAAAATTTATTTCGTCACGTGCTAAAAAAGTAAAAGTAAAAATAAATAAATAAATAAAGAAGTGTAAAATAATAAAGTAAAAATCTTATATTATAAAGAGATCTTTAAAAAATCTAATGTGATTTTGGAATATGATTAACATGATTGGAATATAAATTGTCCGAGTTGGGAAAAAGGCACAAGAAGGTGGGAGAGAAATTGACAAGGTGATGTCAAATGTTTGTCACGGCTTTTATGGCAAAGTTTGTCCAAAAAGAGGATCAGTTTTATATTATCCAAAATTACCAAAGGAGGATTTATGTGAAGGAGATTAAGATTAACCAAAACGGAAGGACAGACTTCCACGTGTGAGCGATAGAACTGATACAGACAGCAGTGGATCAACCAAAACGGAGGAACTGGTCCAAACTAGTTTTTGCTTCACCTTCAGTCACCGGTAAACTCACCGGTTTTTCCATTTAAAACACATTATAAATGCACACAGTTTTTTGTGTGTGTGGGTTTGACAGGAAGGAAAAGGTTGGATGGTTTTATGTTGATCAAACAAAAAAACACCCTTCTTTAAAGGTGCTTTTCCTTTTAGTGTTGTTGTCTTCCTCTTCAACCTTGCAAATTCTGTATTGATCTTTTTAGAGTTGCAGATAAGGGATGTCTTTGGTTTCATTAACTATATGACTCGGAGCCGATTCAGTTTAATTTCCTTCGTTCCATATGCATTGCTATATAGGTGACCAAACCATATGCTGTATTGATGTATCTATGTCTCATTTGCAGAATCTAGTCTTCCTGTTAGTTTTGCTTACTGAATTCTTTTTTTTCAATGAATGCCTAAGACATGGTGCCGCAAACAAGATCAGAATACGGTTTCATCGGCTACCAGGTGCCTGTGTTCCCTCGAGCTTCTAGATCAGCAAGGGTAATGAAATGCTCACGTTCTGAGATCGTCTATGTACTGTGTTTTTTTATTTTGAAAATGGTAGTTTTGATATTGTCATTGCTTACTACTGGTTTTAGGTTAGAGTACCAATTAAGAAGAAAAGTGGGAAGAATCAGAAACGTGCTTTTGAAATTCTGGTTAGTGTAGCCGGTGAACTGTTGCAGGAACAAGAGGGTGAGAGGCAATCTTCGAAGTTCAACCTTTCTGATCAGGAAACTTGTGATGAGAAAACGTCGATCAATTACCGACAAATCTATACATTGAATAAGTTTTCCTGTGCTCCGGACCGGTTTAATTTGAAAGCCTGTTCGAATTTAAAGAGCTTTGATCAGTTGGCTAATGTCAGTGGTAGAAATGCTAACCTTTCTGCTGCAGTGGGCATTCCTTCTCTTGTATCTCCGGAATTTTTCGAAGGGAAACTAAAGGATGCCGGAGGTGAGCTTTCAATCATTCAAACTGTAAAAAGTGAAACTCTTCCACTTACAGGCAGTTTGGATGTGTTGGAAAGGGACCGCAAACCTTCCAGTTTTTTCTGTTCAGACAGCAAGGCATACATGTTCAAGGATTGGTTAACTTTTGATCCTTCTAGGCATTCTAATGCTATAGAGATGATCAATAGAGATGATGAAAAGAATTACTTTGGTTGCAGTCAGGCAGCAACCACATTGAAGGCCTTTAGGGTGCCATCGAACATTGCAGATCGAGGAATTAAGAACCTGTCTTCTTCCCGATATTGGAGAGTATCTTCGAATTTGAATGGTGGGGCTTCCATTAGAAATGGTATATGACCATTCTGTATATTGATAATGGATTGTGCTAAGATGTCATGATAAAGTCAAGTAAAATAAGTTGTTGCTCATGATACACTAGGCATTCATTCCTGTATCCGTTCTTTTAACTTCAAAAATTTGCCTTGTCGATTCAATGTCATTTCCTGATATTTTCAGATGGGAAAAGAAGAATGCTTTCCCATGATGGGAGGACTAGTTATGGTCATCGAAGATCAAAGAGGATCTCTCCTTTCGAGAGAAGATGCTTCTTCAATCACCTCCCGTTCTCTGGGTCGGATAGAGGCTTTCAGCTTGATGACAGATTCAATTCCGCTAACAAGAGAAGCGATGGTGACAACTCTAGTGCAGGTTCAATATGGCTGCCAGCTTTAGTTTCTTGTTCATTTTCTGCCCTTAGGCTTCAGGGATCTATTCAGTTTTTGCTGAATAACCAGAGCTCTTACATGCAGCCATTAGAGTGGGATCCTCAATCGCAAGCCCTCGTAATCATCTTGTGTCCCGAGAACGTAATGGTATGAAGATCTTTAATGCAATGTTTTAGTATCTGATCATATGGTCATGTTATCCATCCAGTATTTAACCTTTCTTCTTTTCTTTGCCGGGTTTATTCAGTGAAGATCCGGATTAAATCCTTTACGGTTCCAGAGCTCTTAGTTGAGATTCCTACGACTGCTACTGTTGGTTCACTAAAAGTATGCAGTATCCTTACTAATAGACACTGCTTTTGTTTGCTTTAATGTCTTAAGAAATAATGTATGACCTCATTCTGATGAGGTCAAGTATACTGGTTCTATACCTACATAGTGCTAATGTCTAGTGGTTTTGTTTAGAGGACAGTCACGGAGGCAGTGACTACTGTACTCGGAGATGGCTTACGTGTCAGCATCCTTCTTCAAGGAAAGAAGGTTAGAGGCGACGGAAAAACTCTACTTCAGACTGGTATTTCTCGAGATGGCAAGCATCGTAATTTGGGGTTTTTGTTGGAGCCTAGAAACATGAAGATTATACCTCCTCCGTGCCTGGGAGAGCGGAGGATAACAAGGTAAGTATTTGGTATTTTGTTAAGCTTAGAAGGGAGCTAACTGCTTCTCGTTGTCTTCATTTCTGTGGCTTTTATTCTAGCTTTCTTTTCAAAATTGTTAATAAATTATCCGTCTTCAAGGCATGCAACGTTTTTTACACTAGAACCGGGGACTGCTGGTGTCTCCCTTGTTCCCCCATTGATTGGTTGCAATCATAGTGCTGAAAGTGACCTGCATCTAATTCCCAACATATCAACTAATTCTAATATTCCGAGTTCTCAATCTGTACTATCGATATCGGCCATTAGTGTGGAGGCATTGACTTTGGTTCCAGTTCATCACAGAGCTAGACGCCATGAGTTTGTCCAGCGGCGCATTAGAAGGCCCTTCTCTGTTTCAGAAGTAGAAGCATTGGTCCAGGCAGTCGAGAAACTAGGAACCGGAAGGTTACTCCTTTCGCCAAAAAATGTTTTATTGCGGACTCTAATGCTTCGGTTCCTAAGCTTGTTCTAAATTTTGTAGGTGGCGTGAGGTCAAAGTACGCGCTTTTGACAATGCTAAGCATCGTACGTATGTTGATTTGAAGGTGAATGGTCCATTTCTGTTTCTTCTTCAGTTTGGATGTTCATTATTGTCAATTCCCAACTAAACCTTTCATGGCTGAACATCTTTAGAACAGCAACATGTTTCTTTTGTTTTTGTTTTCATATAAACTATATGTTTGGATCTTCTAAAGCTTCCATGTAACCCTTACGGAACCGGATTCATGTTATAGGATAAGTGGAAGACATTGATCCATACAGCAAGAATCTCCCCTCAGCAAAGGAGGGGAGAACCTTTACCACAAGAGCTTTTGGACCGTGTACTTGCTGTCCATGCCTATTGGTCCAAACAGCAGGCTACGCAGCAACTTGAATCAGGTGTCTGAGTTTCGACTTGATCTCTGGTCAGTCTTGTAAATATGATATATAGTGATATCTTCTGTAAATGATAACTATGTAGTATGCTCACATTCAAAGTTGATCTGAAACCGAAATACCGGCTTTGTTGGATATAGTTCGAGTCCATTTACATGATTTGTTGAATAAAACAATGCATGCTTAGATGCTGTATGTAATAATATTTGCAAGTTATACCCCAACAACATTGTTTCATCCTATGGTTTTCAAAGCAAATCGAAGTAAGAAACGAGAGCCTAGCTGGCTGGCCAGACCGGATGGAAAAGTAGATGAGAAGAAAAGAAGGGGCAATCACTATAGTGTTCCATATACGAAAGGAGGATACATTCCTGAGTTCAAATATTACTGAAATACCGAGTTCCATAGCGATGTCGTACAAAAAGAATTTCATTGCACCGTTATCTTAAATCTTAACAGTTCAGCTAAGTTTTGCAAAGGGTACCTTAGTAGACAGCTGAGAGTTGTTTGTAGTCCTTTCTGCTGATCAAGGCATGGTTTTAGAAGTTCCAGATACTGATGATTATTTAGATTGAAAATGTTCTTGAAAAGCATAACATATCTTGTAGAGAAAACCTCATGGCCCTCGAGAATTAGAAACGAGTAGTTATCTGGGAAAAAAGAGCCTTGAAGTCCTTGGTTGGGGTGCCGACTCCCTCAGGTTTTGAGGCTAAATCAAACGCCTTAAATTTTGCATCCTCGAATTTCAGTGCCTGTTTGAGAAGGAAACGGGTAAGATGCATGAAAACAGCAATCTGATGCCAATGGTGAGGGTGAAAATGTTTTCAATTCGGAATGCCAATATGACAAAGGCAATACCTGAATGCAAACTTCAGCAACATCAGGCCTGGCAATTGTTTTCGTTTCAGTCTGAAGAAGTTCATCATCCTTCCCGACTAGTAGTTCTCTGATACCACCTTCTCTATCTTGCAGCCCTCCAGCCCTGACTCGGCAAAAAAGGCTCAATGTCGGTAGTAAAGTTATACGGAGTTAACAAACATTTTAAAGTTCAGAGACATTTCCTCTTGTAGAACAGAGATGGGAATACAAGGAATGTTGATGCTATAAAATGGCGTACATTCATCTACCTGATAATTGTGTATGGAACACCGGAATCAGCCAAATATTGCTCGGCCTTTCTCTTCCAGACCTGAGAAACAGAAAAGTAGAAACCAAATAATTCAATAATACTGATTATTCTATCAAACTCCGGAGCAAAGGCCCCTATCAAAAGCGGGTGAGGCTAACCAAAATGTTCCCATTGCCCAAGCTGTTCAAGGGATGGTTAGGGTTTGTTCCACCCATTGACCCAACCAACACGATTTGCTTCACGCCAGCCTCCTTAGCTGCCCATTTGAAATGCAGGTTTTCATTATATGGTTTGCTCAAGTGAAAACTGGGCATGTAGACTGAAGATCTAGTATCAATCTAGACCAAGAACTTACCAACATCTATTTGATTTTTCTGACCAATCCAGTCAACCTAAGAAACAAGATAGATAACCTTACATCAGTCGAGTGAAGAACAATCGGAAGCGAGTAAAATCCCAGAACTATAAGAGGAAAATGGGGCTTACTTGCTCAGGGTATGCTCCATCTTCAAAATAGAACTCAGGCCTTTCTCCTTTTGTCGGATCAAACCCGGGTTTCATTTTCGGAACAGCACTTGTAAGAATTACGAGAGCATCGACTCCTTGCATAGCAGGAACCAGAGTGGCAGAATCCCTTATATCGCCAACAAAGACATCATCTGCTCCACCGATTGTCTCCTTGCTTTCTGGAGTTCTAACCAATCCTCTTGCCACAAACTGGTCAGACCCCTCTTTCAGTTTCTTGTAAACTATCTGACCTGCCAAAGTCCCACCAATAAATTCATGTCAATACCGGGGCATCAACACCCAATCTTCAATTGAAAAACATTACCACCACAACAGCCTACTGAAAAGACACAAATAATCCTTAAAAATGCAAGAAACTATATGGAATTAGGAATCTAAAATAAACATCGATACTCGTTAACTTGAAAGAAAGAAAAAACCCAAATCTCAATTCCCCCATTAACAGAACTCCTCTTAACATCTCATGTAAATCCCTAAATAGGTATTTCAAAGCAAATTGCATCAAAATCAACAACAAAAATTAACCCTTTTTAACAATTAAAAAGCGAAAGGTAAAAGCTGGGGAACAAAGGAAAAACCTGTTCTGCCACCGGCTCCAGTGACAAGCACAGTGCTCAAATCAGCCATGGAAGCTAAAACCGCTGCTGTTCTCCTGAAACCCTTGTTTTGTCTCGCTGAGAGAGAAGGAATTTGGGATGAAAAAGAAGAGCGGGTGTTAAGAAAAGAGAGAGAAGAACACTCTGGAACTTTTCTTGTTAAAGGTGATGCCGATGCCACGCAATTGCATTTATGACAGTGACGATTTAAAGGCTTCGATGAAGCAGTAGCTGGTGGAAGCGTGCTGGTGGAAAAGACCAATGGAACACGTGTAAACGTAGCCATTGACAGAGAAGGGTCGGCTATTCAGTTGTATCCGACCGCCGGTAAGGCTAGCAAAATTGGACAAAGGGGAGGAGGAATAAATTAAAGCTTTTTGGTAGTTGCCGTTAAAGATATTGTTGAGCTGTAGGAATTGTTTTTAATAATGTTATTTTGGTTTTTCTTATCTGTTTCTTTAAAAAATAAATAGATGTCCTCGTTACCATATGTGATGGGATAAGAGAAGGTAAGATAGTAGGTTGCCTCTAATACTAGATTGAGAGTAGCTTTCGTAAAATACTTCCCAATTATGAAATGCCCTCCATAAGACTCAATCTCACGACCTCAAGATTAATAACCTTATGCTCTACCAACTTTTTTTTGGATAAAGTTCTATTATAGAGATTTATTTTGTTGAGTCTCCCCACTATTAAAAATTATAAAATGATCTATTAATTATATGATGTTGTTTTGTTGAGTCCTCTTATTGTTAAAAATTACAAAATGATCAACCGACTATTTCTATATTCTAAACTCGTCTTTCTTCGTGAACAAATTGATATTTTTCTAAGTTGGACGTTAATTTGATTAGATTTAATAAAATCTAATCTTTAAATCGTTTTAGGTGTATTTTAAAAATCAAATCTTCGTTTACATTATATCATTAAGTCATTATTTGAAACATTGTACTATCGAGTCAGTGCTTGAAAAAAATAGTGGTGTCAGTAAACATAATTAAAATATGATTTTATCATATATCAATCAACATATTAAAGTCCAGTTTAAACGACCATCAAATTAATTTAAACATGCCATTGGCAATGGCAACGACAACCTCTCCCTTGCTTCCATTATATATACAACTTTGGTTTCCATTCTTTATTTCAAGTAAATGCTTTGGATGGAGAATATGGAGAATCATGGTGATGAGTACAAACACTATTGGGAGACTCAATATTTCCTTGAAAATCAAGAATACGGGTACCTACTCAAGCTACAACTTTGCTTTTGGCAAGAAAAGGGAAATTAATTTGTTTGCATGCATGCATTTGGACAATCGATGGGTACTATGATTCTAGTTCTCCCGACGGAGCACCCTCCTCAGCCGCCTCTAGGAACATCGTTTCCGAAAGAAACAGGCGGAAGCAGCTTAACCAACGCCTGTTTGCTCTCAGAGCAGTAGTTCCAAATATCAGCAAGGTGAGCTACTCCATATTAATAATTCATCAACTCAACATACACATACATGCATTCACCTCTCTCCTTTCCTTCTAGATGGACAAGGCTTCTATAATCAAGGATGCCATCGACTACATCAAACAACTGCAAGAGCAGCTAGCCGGAATCCAAGCCGAGGTCATGGAAATGGAGAACAATAATCCAGAGACAAAGGTGCGCCAGCAACTGCCTCTGCTACTAAGATCCCACAACACCAACATTTTCAATCCAACATCTTCCCCTATTCAACTTCTTCAAGTGATCAACACTGACTTCTCTTCCTGTTCCATTGATTAGTTTTGCATCTTGTCTTTATTTCTTTAACTTTGTTCGGAAACTTTTGCAGCTCAAAGTGACGCCCATGGGAGACAACACTCTGCTGGTGAGCATTACGTGCAGTAAACGTGCGGACACCATAGTTAAACTCTGTCAACTTTTCGAATCATTTAACCTCAAGATTATTACAGCGAACATCACCGCTCTTCCCGGGACACTGGTGTTGAACACTCTGTTTATTGAGGTAACTCCACTATATTCTCTCTCTCTCTCTCTCTCTCTCAATATATGTTTGATTAAAATGGATAGGCTGGTCGTCTGATTAATGATATGCAGGCTGATGAAAAGGAGAAAGATGGGTTAAAGATGCAGATCGAGACAGCCATTGCAGCACTTAGTGACCCACAAAGTCGTATGAGCTAGAAATAGCATGCAATCTAAACATCTTATGATCTCATCTCTCCATTTCATCACTATCACTTATCCTATAATATTTGTATGTCATAGCGTTCTACTTGGAGTTTAGACACATTATTAACATTACTGCTTTTAATAAATTATGCTTTTTGAGTTTTAATGGCGTTTTTATTTATTTTTGGAAAAAAATATTTTTTTTCTTGGAGTTATTACTTTAAGTGGTTTTTTGAATTTTTAAGATGATTATATATTTAAAGTGTGTTTATTCCAATTCTTTAAATAAATTTACAACTGTTTAAGGTTAATCAAATTTATCATTTTTTAATATTTTAAAGTGATTACAAGGTAGAATTTGTTCATAATTTTTATTAATCATTGATAACGTATATACTCTACAGACCAACTGCTCAAATTTAGGATTTATAATTTTATGTATTATTAGCGAATTAAATTATAAAAAATTATCAAGAATGAAAATACTTTTTTTATTAAGAAGAAGAATGAAAATAATTTTTTTATTAAGAAGAAAAAAATATGATATTTAGAAGAAAAAAAGGAGTACAATAATGGAGACTTGGTATAAGATTACTTGGGTTTATTTTCTTCTACCAAGTACGCACAATATTCACCTAATGCTAGAGTTGATGCTTATTATATCAAAACATGGGGAGACCAAGACAGTGAGAAGGTGAAGCAGGGGGAGAATTAGAAGACGAACAAGAAGAAGAAATGGATGCAATGTTATTGTTATGTGATGGATTCCTTATCATCCAAGGCACCAGATCTTCCAGTAACCCTTGTTGGCTAAACCCTGCTTCCGAACTCATCTCAATGGAGCTTGGGAGTGTAGTAATTTCTAGGGTGTCTTTTGCTTGTGAAGATTCAGCTTCTGAAAAGCAGGAGAGGGAAATATGGGTAGGCAAAGTGTAGGTGAAATCCTTCATAGGTGATGATGAGGGTATCTGGCTCATCTTTTGACCTCTCCACCTGCTTCTTTGCACTGCATCTGAGGTTCCTGCACTTGTAATAGCTCCTGTTCCAAAACCAATGCAAATAAATATTTCAAAAGATTAATGAGAACCGATTGAAAATTGTTAGTCGTTAATGGAAGTATTATTTTTTTTAGAGGTCATAGATTCAAGCAATTATATTTGTACATACTTTGGGTTTGGGCTGTTTTTGATCAATTTTTGCCCGTATTTCCTCCATTTATATCCATCATCTACCATGCCATTGCCACCTTCTTTGACCTTCAGAGTATATGTATTTTCTATCTTAGGCAAACCTCTTTCCAGCATTGAATTAACTCTGCAAATGAAGATGGATTGTTCAATGTTCACCCAATATCAAAAGAAAACCAAATAAATTACCTGGTCCGGTGTTGTGGTTGAGATTGACCGTTCCATGTTTTCACTGATAAACCATTCTGGATATCTTCAATCCTGGGCCCTGGATAGATGAGTGGCTGAGTGGCATCTTCTTCTGAAATTTTCGATTTGGGTTGAATGACAAAGAAAGGAGACTCATCATCAAGAAGCTCTCTCACTAGTTCATCTTCGAGGCCATGATCGAACCAATCATCCTTCTCATCTTTTTCCATCACATTACGCACTTTCAGTGACAACTAAATTAAGACTTGCGTTGATTGAACTAGCTAGTGAGTCAGTGAGATGAACGAAAAGAAAAAAAAAACCTTAGCTTTTACAAGAAGAAGAAAGTGATGGAGCAGATGAAGATAAGTTGACAAGACTTGTGTGTGTGTGTATATATATATATATGTATATGTTGACTTCTGCTAAGACTTACTATAACTTTTGGTTAATTCAGCAAGTGTCAACCACTAAATAAAATTTGTATTTAGGGACTATTTCTGAATTCCATCCTCTCTTTTACGAAAATTGAAAAATTAGTCCTTCTACATTATTTTTATCAAAATTTGATCCCTTACTTCATGAAAACAAACAAGTTAATTCAGTTGGTAAACACAAAAATTTGAATTAACTAATAAGTTAGTTGAACTATTGATTTTTAAGTCAACAATTTAATGATAAGATTTAATAGTGTCACATAATAAAACTTATGAGCTTTCGTAAAGTAAAAGATTAAGTTTTGACAAATTGAAGTAGAGAAACTATTCTAAAATTTTATAAAGAAATGAAATTTATAGATAAGCCTTATATTCATAATCATGGGTATTAATTTTTTTAATAGTAAAAGGTGATTATAAGATAATATTTATTCAAGAATTTTCTTAATTCATTGACAACACACACACAGTAAATGAGAATCTCATAAAATCAAATTTTCATTTTATCAATAAGGTTATTCAATGGGTTTGGGGTGCTAAACATTTTTGACAAATTCTAAATCTAATCATAATCATACCTAGAGGAGAGAGGAAATGAGACTCTAAGGGAATGAATTAGAGTGTTCCTAGTGGGTTTGCAACCTATGACCTAAGAGAATATAAAAAAATAAAGATGAGCAGCTTGATTAATCAATGAAAATGCTTACTCGATTTTGGGTACTAATTTGATCAAATGAGTATCTTTTGCAATACATTGTTTGGAAAACTTACATAATTAGAGAAAGTGGCTAAACAATTGAGTTAAGATCTTGAAACCAGAACTAGAAAACAAAAAGCACCAAAAAATCATAAAAAAGATTGATGAAATCATAAGCATCCAACATGTTGAAAGAGTAGATCCATAATGCAAAGGACAGATCTCTGACTTGCATTTAGCAGAAACAGACAATGGAAACGTAATCCTTTGAATGGGGGACAATATCTAGTTGGTCCGGTTTCATATAAATAAAGCCGAACATAAGATTAATATAATATACACAAGAGTTTATCTTCAACACGAGAGGATCTGTGAGCCGTTGCTTCAGAGTGAGGAAAGTTTTGTAGGTATTCGGCTTTGACTTTGTGAAACCCACGGCAGATCGTCAAGCTGCAGACCCTCACCTTTGAACGTTAAGACAAAAATGGTTTTGACTTGTCAGACTGAGCTTAGGTTTAGCCCTTCTATTAGGCATGCCAATATTACTTATTAAATTTGGATGTTTAAATATTTTTCTTTAAAAAAATAATTCAGTAAAAACTTTTTTCATAACTGAAATCGAGTTAATATACAATCTTAGACAATGAAAGGAAAGTGGGTATATGTACAATCCAGAAAGAACTAAACAAAGGAAGACAACTCATTCTGCTATAACATATTCCCATTGAAGGAAACAAGGCAGCAAAATTCAAATAAAGGAAAGAACTCATTAAAAACTTTCTTCATAACTGAAATTGAGTCGATATATAACCTTAGACAACGGAAGGAAAGTGGATATCTACATAATCCTAGAAGCGGAACTTCGAGGAACATACCAGGTACTTTAGAGTACACGAAAGCTTAGAGAAAGACAAGTTATAATTGAAATTGATAGCAATGAGACCGTAGAATTAATCTAAAAAGAAAGGAAAACAACTCACTCTACAATATATTCCAATGGAAGGAAACAAGGTAGCAGATACTTTGGCCAAATATGCGTGGACACTCCCAAGTGGGTTACATGAATTCATCTGATCTTCATACGTGATGGCTAAGAATAAAGGAAGAGCACACTAATTTAAATTAATCTCAAATTAGTTTAATAACTCTCATTACAAGGAAAAATCAATTACATAATTTGTGCAATATTTTTTAGGTTTAATGTGGATGGTAAATTAATCCAAAATTTAATTTAAATTAAAAGATTTAGATTCAAATTTAATAAAAACATTACATATTTGTAAACGTTCTTATCTCTATTGATACCATTGCATTAAAACACACGGTGACCAATACCAACAAGTGTTGAGCACACTACACGCAGATTCAAAATTCTTCAAATGTAGGAAGAAATAATCACAAATCTCAGATATAAATTAGAAAAAAAAAATATAAAAAGTATGGGATTTATAATTTGATGTAACAAATGCTAAAGAAACAAAACTATTATTTCCTCTGTCTCGTTAATTTTATTTTCATAAAATATATATTTTAGAAGATAAATTTGATCATATGACAAATCATATAAAATGAGAGAAATAACAAAATTATCCTCAAAATGTGATTGATAGATTTGACAGATTTATTTTTATAGGTGTAAAAATGTAAGATATATAAGGGTAAAAAATGAAATACAAATATTATTATTTATCGACTTTTCTAATAAAATATTTTAAATAAGATAATTTTAAAATCAAGAATAGATAAATTTAATAGGACCGACGAGTATATAAATTCCGGCAGCAAGCGGAATGCAGGAGCGGATTGTGTGGTAAGAGATCAAATCTAAGTAAAAAACAAAAGTCAACCCATTATAACGTGGGACCATCTACATTATAGAGGACCCCAACCATGGTCAAAATTCACGTGTGGAGAAAAATGGAACAATTTCAGCTGTCCCATTGGTGGAAAATCTATCCTACAAAACCATGTTAGGGCAAAAGAGAGGAGTGACCCCTTCAATTAATGTTTACAAGGTCGATTTTTTTAGTAATCCATACTTATAAGGTAGTACTAATTTAAAAAAAAATCAGTCATATCACACACTTTACAAACACAATTCCTCGAGCTCATAATCTCTTAGAAGAACAACCCTTTTTTTTATCCCTGATATCGTTTGATATATTCTTCTATTTTAATTGTTAGAGGTTTGCACCTAAGATTTTACCCTAAATTTTATGAAGTATCATCAAATCTAAAATTAAGCTATTTTTTAGTTAAATTTTAAAATTAATATAATATATGTATTATATATATAAGTTATAAATTTAAGTCTTATATTTTAATTTATTTTTTTATTTTTTACATTTTAAAATTTTAATCATAATATAGATAATAACCATAAATTTTATTAAATTAAATTATGTCATTAGTTTTTATATTATATATTTATTATAAATCTAATTTTTATTTGTGAATTTGATAGTTTAAAACCATATAATTTAATCATATTTTCTAATACTATTTGAGTCATGATTAAATTTTTAACTTATAAAAAGTTAAAGTACTAAAATTATCAAACTAGTGTATAAAGACTATGTTTATACATACTTTAATAACAAATTAAATTTTATACATTCATTTCATTACTTGATGGACGTAGTTTACTAGAAGTTGATAAATATGAACATGTTAAGTGTTTAGTGGTTAAAGGAAGTGTTACTCTCACTACAATTCCTAGATTCGAGCATCTACGTCTGTAGAGTGTGTTTACGTTGTCAATGATTAAGAAAAATTATGAACATATGCATTCTTATAATCACCCGAGATTATTAAAAAAAGGTTGATGAGTATAAATTGATCCTCCTACCTATTAGGACTACACACATACAAAGTAATGTCAATTTTACAAGAGTAAACTGTGAACAATAAGTTTTCTTCTCTCACAACACTAAGCAAGACAAATTATTGAGGACATGGGTTTTTAGTTAGTAGATAGCTTGGGTAACAATCTTCGGCTTAGTGTTCCGTTAATTCATGAAAGGCTCACGAAAACACACTTATCGATTTGCGGTTCATAAATAAAAGGAATAATAAATTATTTGTTTTAAATTATATTTGTTTCATTAAGTTGTTTTTATTTTTTGAGTAAAGTTCATAAAGGGTCCACTGAGTATAGGGTCCAAATGGCGACCCACCCACCAGATGGCACACCAACCTTGTTCTTCTCGGCGGGCTCGATAAGATCGAACCTGGCAGGATCGTTTTTGGGGTCGAAGTTCACAACACCTTGAGCCAAAACAAAGAAATTGAACCCATCAAGATGTAAAGGGTGGCTTTGTGCACCAAGGATGCTAGTATCCTGCAACACTAACTCCATGCTAGTGTTGAAAGGTAGTGCCACCACCTTGGTGTAGCTGCTCATGCGCGATGTTCTTCGGTAGTGTGCCGGTGTAGTTAAACTTGAAAGGTGGGTTAACTGGGAAGTTGGTGGTGTAAACACCCTTTGATTTATTAAAAAAATGAGCTTGGAGAAGAGCAATATTTGGTTGCACAAATGAGACATTGTAACTGCAGGTGCAGGTCTAGTGTTGTTGGGCCCTTGACATGTTTGGTTTTTCAAGTAAGGGAGTATCCCTAGCCCGAATGTGAGTGATAAGTACGATATTCATTTTGAAGGATTTGACATACACTGCATCAGCTTCCACGACAGTGAGGGTGTGGTTTGACCATCTAACTCGTTGGTAGAGAGTAAGGTTCTTAACCTTGAGGTTGTGAGAATCGAGTCACATGGAGGGCATTTCATAATTTGGAGGTCTTTCACGGAAACTTCTCTCAACCTGGCGTTGGGGGCAGCCTACTATCTTACCTCTCCCTTACCCCCATTACATATGGGAATAAGGGTCAACTAATTTAGCTAATTTTTTCAAGGCAAGGTAATATCTAAATAATATAGCACTCCAAGGGTTGATAATGCCTTTTTAGATTATACTTAAATCCTCCCAAATACAAATATTTTACAATGAACATTATAAACCGAAGTACACAACTAATGCAACTTATCAAAACATACCATTAACTAAATTATTCTTGTTAAATAAATATTAAAAGAGATAAACTACACGTTTAATACCTAAAATTTATTTTTTTTCAAAATCATATTTAACATTTAATTTAAATTTTAATTTGATACCCTATCGCTAAAAACTTAATGGCAAAACTAATGTAACATGATATATCTATTTTTATTTTTTAAAATTTCCACATAAAGGTTAATTTCAACAAGACTCTGAAATGAAATGAAATGCATGGCACTCAAACGTAAGTAGACTAATCATTTAGATTAATTTCACCATATTTTAAATTTAAATTATATAATGATATCACCATAAAATAAATATTTAAAACTCTACCCAACTCAATAATTTCAACCATATTTAAAATTCTACCCAACTCAATAAATCCCAATATTTTGTCCACCAACAAAATAAATTGTTTGGATTTGGATCTTTATAATAAATATAGTTATAATAGAGGCTTATACACATGAGTGGGATCTTTTAGTTATAAAACTCGGAGTTACAAATTGGAAGAAATTCCATCGGTTGCTTGGTGCCGTCAGATCACACATATTATAGGGCTTTGATTGGTCCCTATAGGCCAACACCCAATCTCTGCCTAGCCATATCACAGCGCACCTGAGCCAATCCGATCCTTGATCTCTCAAGATCAAATTCCATCCACACGTTTTGTTGATGATGATGACCAATCACGTATGCCTCCACACCCAATAAATCAGAATTCCCAAAACTCATGCACCATACCGTATCACTCCCCCTTATTTCACCCGGAACCTTGTATAAAACCCGATCACCCGACACCACCATTTCCGCCCCGGCAAATACCAAACCCACTGACGGCAGATCCGGCAGCCTGCCTTGACCCGACGGCACCCTGTAGCACAAATCCATTGCCCCCTGGAAAATAAAGTTGGGATCCTCTAAAACCCTTAAAACACCGCTTGTTTGATTCAAAAACTCCCCTCTTAAAGTGTTGTAAACGGGTCCCAATAAGAAAGTGAATTGAGTACCCGAGTCAACCATGGTTTGACCTGCCCCGGTATGATCTGGGACTAGAACGGACTTCGGAATCGGTAATAGCTTACCCGATACTTTGATGCCTTCAAGCTGAACTGTGTAAGCGACCCGATCGAAATACGGCAACGGTTGGGAGATTTGGATTAACGGCGTGTAGTTTAACGGTGCAAGCCACGTTAGGTTGGAGTCGCCGAGTAAGAGGAGACCGGAGAGATCGGAACCCGAGATGCAATACGAGAACTTGGGGAATCCCATTTGGGAAACAAAAGAGAGGGAGCCACGGTTCATGCCCATTAACCCGGTGGTTTTGGAGTCTTGGTCGGAGTTGGAACTGAAAATGGAGTCCATGCAACCGAAAACAAGGCCCGAGATATTGTCGGATGACCCGAGATGGAAGATATCGGAGGCGAGATTTCCATCGGAAGAAGAAGAGTCAGCGTAGCAAAGAGTGGCGTGGCAAAGGTTGTGGGAGTCGCATGAAGCTGGGATCGGGAAATCTCGGGTTTTATTTGTGCATGTGGGGGAGAAACAAGGGATTGGTTTGTACGAGGTTGATTGATTGGGGTAGAACATTGTCGGGTCCGGTTGGTTTTTCCGGGTGGTTTGGTTGCAACGGAGCCAAGAGAGCTCGCTTCCAGTGTCGAGAACCATGGAGACATTTTGTGGTGGAGTGCCTACTGATAAAGACACAATAAGGCTAACGTTGTGCTGAAACTGAAGCTTGTTCGGAGATCTCAGGGTTTGGGTTTTAAGGGGGAAGACGAGAGATTTAGGTGAAGAAGAAAAACAGAAATGAATCTGAATAAGAAAAAATAAGAGAATTTGAAGGTATAGTGATGATAAAGAGAGGCTTTTGAGAGATGGGTTCGAGTTTGAATCCAAGAAAATGCAAGAATTCATGATTAGTTTGTTTCTTTTCAATTTATCTGTCAGAAATGGAACATTGAGGTGAAGATTTTGGTGACAAAGAAAATGGTTTTTCTTCTTCTGGAATCAATAACTTGGAGTGCGACTGATATATTTGAAACTTGGAACAATGGTCAGAGAGTTAAAGAAGCTTCTTTTCTGTCTGTTCGCTTCAAAAATATCTTCATAAGCTATCGAGACGGTGCCGTTCGCAATGTTTTCGACCAGAGACATTTCTGTTTTTTTTTTTTATGTTATTTGATGTGTCAACTCGCAAAGAATTCGCCATGAAGTTCTACGGTGCCTCAGTATCATATATGGTTAAGAAAATATTATTGGTTTTGTTATTATTTTAAATAATAAAAATGATTTAAAATATTATTATATTGATCGATTTTATTAATATTATCAATTATTGATATAAATAATCATGATAAAAAAAATAATATTTTTAATAAAATACTATCTAAAATATTTTTTTATCAAAATTTTTTATCGAGTTTATTTATATCAATAATTATAATAAATAAAAATAATAATATTTTTAATTATTTTTTATTAAATTTATTATTTAAAATAATAATAAAATCGATAACATTTTATTTTAACTGTATATTAAAGTACCTCACTCCCCACTCAACATCTACTTTCTACTTCAGATTCTTTTTAGGCGAAAAAGCACACATCTTATTAAAAAAAAATTGTGTATGTCATTATCTTCGCTCAATTATTATGTATGTTTTACCACTGTCTATGTTATTGTTTTAGGTTAAAGTAGGATCGATTATAAGATATTCTTTTATTAATTTTTTAATTTAAAATATTTTTTTTAATTATAATATATAATTTTGAAGAGTTTTTTAATTATTAAAAATTATAAAATGATATTTGATTATTTATATGTTTTAAACTTTTTTTTAGTTAAAAATTTAACAATAATCTGAATTGAACATTAACCTGGTGACCGGTATATAATAAAATATGATTCAGAATGTCAAACGATTATACAACTCAAACTGTTCTATGATTGAGTTTTATCATATCCTAATAAGTAGATTAACATTCACATCAGACGACCGTCAATTTTCTAATGGAAATGGATAAATTTGAAGCATATGAATAGTTGAATGATCATTTTGTAACTTTTATTAGTCAAGAGACTCAACAAAATAACATCTTATAATCGATGAATTATTTTATAACTTTTAATCATCAATGTCTCAACAAAACAGTGTCTTATAGTCTTAATTTATTTTATTCTTTTTATGTAAATAAGTAAAACTACATATTGGTTTAATATTGATATTTTGAAATCTTTAAATGTATTTTTACAATTATATTTATTAAATAATTAAAAATAATTTAGTTCAAGTGGTAAGCACATTGATATCGCTTAAGTAAGGTATTTAATTTGAATCCTTGTGTATGCAAAAAATCCCTGTTGAGAGACTCGTTCATCAAAACAGGTAGGGGTGTTCGCGGTCGGTTTGTATCGGTTTTTTGCTAAAAATTCATCCGATCCGAAAGTATAAATGTTTGCGGTTTGGATCGGTTTGGATGTTTCTAAAAAAAATCCGATCCGATCCGATCCAATTAAGTGTAGTTTAATTCGATTTGGATTTGTGCGGTTCGGTTTGGCAAAAACCTTTCCTCATTGTACTATCGTTTAGCTTCCCCCAATTTTAAGATTGAAGTCGAAAGAAAAATAGGGTTACCTAAATTTTCTTGATTTGATTCCAATTCCCTTTTCATGGTTTCATTGTTATAACCAAAACTTGCCATTTGAAATGAAAAAAAAGATTTCTATTTATATAGATATGATTACAGAATGACTTTATATATTATAATATGATAGCATACACTCTCTAAACAAACATATTATTACAATACCAATATTGATGCATAAAATTAAATATGAAAAGATGGAGAAGGGAAAAGGAACGAAACACCCAATGTTTGTATTATCAAAGAAAGCAAAAGGAAAAAAAATTAAAAACTAGGAGCCCAACCAGGATCGAATTGGTAATCTCTTGATCTGCAGTCAGATGCTCTACCACTGAGCTATGGACAGGTTTGTTTTAAACTTGTAAATTAACTATTATATTTTATCGGTTCGGTTCGGTTTGGATCGTTTCAGATTTTCAAACCGAAACCGAACCGAACCGAACCGAACCAATCGAGTTTTTTTTTAAAAAAAAACATACTAAATCGGTTTCGGTTTTTTTCGGTTTTCAGTTTTTTGGATCGATTTTCGGTTATTTTTTGGATCGGATTGGATCTGAACACCCTTAAAAACAGGTGTGCGACACAGGTCAATCCATATTATTCAAAATAAAACTTTAAAATCAAGAGAAAAATTGTTATAAATATGTATCATCATTCAATTTATTAATCATCATTAAAATAGTAATGATTTATAATTTAATTTTTGTTTATTTTTATTATTTTTACTTATCAATACTAAAGTATTTATTTTATAATAATTATTATTCAGCAATTTCACCTCTTATTATATGTATATCGATGGTATATTATGAGTTTTCAAGGTCGGATGTAATCTCAGATTGTATTTTTCCTGCTTTCGTTTCTTCTTTTTGTTATTTTGATTTTAATTTAACTCAAATTAAATACGAAAGAATTCTTAACAAGACATACTCTTTTTTCTTAAAAAAAGAAAATATTTGGCAATAATTTTACCCACCATACACAATATTCAATATTTCATTTTTTTATATAGAAAACAAAATATTAGAATTTTTCTGCTCACACACAGACATATGGACATAATTTTTTTTACATTTTGAAAAATCGACAATTTGTACTGTAGTTCATAAATTTAGGACCTACTTCTTATCAATAGCCTATATCTCGTTGCAGTGTATTTGTGGCTTGTGTTTCACTGCATAGTTTAGTGGGTTTCTTTTTCCTCCAGTTTCTTTTTGTTAATTTGAACTCATTTAGGTCCTACATCTAATTTTTTGTAAGTGAGTCTTCAGCAATGTTTTTCCAAGTAAAAGGGTGGGTGTGAATTATTCTTAATGGCTTACAACTTGGAGAAGATATGATGATGCAATTCATGATTTTGATGAAATATGTGAAGTCTAACATTTGAATCATATACAACTAAAATACAGACAGGGACATGTAACTAAAAACGAACTTGTTGACAATAAGAGAGCAAGGAACATGAATCCTGTTATTGAACTGGAGAATGTGTAAGAAAATCAAAGGGACGTCAATGGGTGCAGTTAATGCACCGCTATGCAATGGAATGCAGTCCAAAAGGATTAAATCATTTAACATTCACGTGCATTAGAGCAGATTCTTGAAGATGTGAATCCAATTCCCTTGCACATGCTGTGCTGAATTGTTTGCAAACACAGGATCGTGGGTTTGGACTTTGGAGGGTCCGACACTCTGCTTATGGCAAACCCATTGCCCCATCTTGGGATTTGGGTTTCACTTTCATATCTCACTCACCAACAAGGGGAAAAAATGAAAATAAATACATAAATGTTTACTCCATTACAACGTGCTGCTTCTCCCAAGATTTCTGTACTCAACATTGTCTTGTCAACGTCAAGAAAATGGAAAATATCCCCTTACCATTCAACAAGAAAAAAGTAGACAGTAAATGCTCTTGTTTTCTCGTCCAAGCCTTGATTTGATGATAAGTAGGGATGTAAATAATATTAGAACCCACCCTTAATTGATAAAAATTCAAGATATCATACCAAATTATTAATAATTACTACTTACATTCCTGAGAGAGTATTTGAATCGGTTATTAAAGATTATCTAAAAGATTAATATTTGAAGATTATCTTAAAGGTTAAAATTTTCTAAATGATATTTCTCTCAAGTAAAATCTATTGAATATAATAAGATAGGGATGAGTCTGCCGTTATAGAGGTAAGTTGATTACAAAAAGTAATATTTTTTTTTATAAATATTCTTAATCATTTAACAACGAATAATGTCTAATTATTCTTCAAATCATTAGTGTTCGAATTTATAAACTTTAAAAATAATAATACTTTTTTAATCATTGAGATAAGATAAGATTATTTTTATATGAACTTTGAATTGATTTACATTGATTTTTGGTTTTCTAAGTTTTTTCCCTCTGTCCTATATGTTGTCACATGAGCTTATCACTATGCCACACGTGGATTATTTATTAGTCCATGTCTATTGTATGTGGAGTCACGTTAACATACTTTTTTAATATATATATGTAAAATTATTTAAATAATACATTTTAAGTATATTTAACGAAATAATACTTAAAATTAATTAATTATAGAAATGACACTCATTTTTTCGATTTTTTCTTTTTTTGATTAACTAGGGATGATGGTATTGTATCGATGGATATTTTCCCCTTCACTAATGAATCAATCATGCTTTGTCTCTTTTGGACAGTAGATATCCCTTATCGTAACACATAAACCATCATGTATATATTCTTCAAAATTTGTCATATTAGGTTGTAAATTGGCCAGTTTAACACCTCTCTTGGCTCAAAACAAACGTGCACGGTATCTGAAGGTAGTATTTTCTTTGTTCAATTGGCTAATAAAAGTCAATTTAGTACGTGGATTGTGGATTCCGGGTCTAGTGACCACATGGTAAGAGATCTCAAGTTGTTTCACTATTTTAAAGCTGTAGAGTCTTCATCTCATGTTCGAACTGTGGATGGTTCTTTGTTTAATATTGCAGGAAGTGGCTCCATCAGGATAAATCTGAATATTATGTTCTCTATGTTCCCAATCTCGCCTGCAACATTTTTTATGTTAGCAAATTGTCTATTGATTTGCATTGTCATACCCAATTTAATTATTTTCTTTTTAAAATTTCAAGATTCGAACTCGGAAAGGTAATTGGTATTGCTAAGCTATGCGGAGCCCTCTACCTTCTTGAAGTGAACTCCAAAATCAAGCCTACTCCAACTTATCTTAATTTGCTTCTTTATCATACTTTGTTTTTTTAAATGGCATTTTCGATTAGGACTCCCTAACTTCGTTTATCTTTAAATCTGGTAATGTAATGAATACTTTACTCTAA